GCTGTGCGAGATTTTCACAAAGTATTGATGTTCGATAAAAATTGTTGAAAATAATAAATATAGAAGAATGGGTTCCAACGGGAAATATACGATTATATGCAGCAAGTACTTTAAAGAAAAATGTTTTTCTCATAGAGGTGTCCAGCGTGTGTGACGGTGGAAAAATATTCACCATCCCATATCATCCCGTGAATAAGACGACAGAGGGAAGCAAATTAGGAGATGGGCAACAGCGTCTTCCTTATAACGACTAAATATAAAAAATACTGCGGTCGTCAACCCGCTTCCCAAGCCAGTCCATTGTGCTGCACCCATAATGTAGCTGCAGCTTGGCAAGCTCACAATATTTTTACAATAAATTAGTTATCTTTGAAAGATTCAAAAAAATGATATCGTAGTATTGTTTGATAGCTTTTTGATAAACGCCGTTTGGTTTTAGTTAACGACATTTAATTTATATACACAGCATAACATCACAGATTACCCCCTAATAATCTGTGCATAACATGCATAACATTTCTTTAAGAACAGCGTTTCTTTCTGCAATTGAGTATTAACAACTTTTGAAGCTTATGTATGTCGCAGGTACATTGTCAAAGCCGTGATATTATAATTGAACGGTGGATTATCAATTCGACTTCATTTCTTACAACTTAACGGGCCCGGTCGATGGAGCCCCGCCACAGATTAATAAATAGTTTACCTCCTACTTCTGACTGGTTTATAAAAAAATAACTAACCTCACCAGAAGTCATGTAAGTCAGAATCGGGTAGTCCCGAGTACGCTCTACAAAAAAATTAATAATTAAACATTATTATGTGATTTATGTTTAATGTTCGCTTTTTTTGTGTAGATTAACAAAAAAAATATAAACCTCGTTTAATGCTATGCAAGAAAGTTATGAACGATTATATTCGAAGAAGTGCGGTTATAATCACATTTGAAGTCATAAAGCTATATAAAATCTTTGGGTGGGATATTTTTCATATTTTTTTTTTCATAAATCCGCCATAAAGAAAATGCAAATATTTGTTACAATTATAATTAAATCGCAACTTTAATACTGTTCGTATTGAAAAAGCGATCGAGCAGAACCAGCGCTCTAAAGTCTTTGCCAGAGATCTGTCTGCCAGAAAGAGCCAACTGTCAAAGCTGAGTAAGTGTGGCAGCATCGCTTCCGGGACACCTGAGATTTTGAGGGAGATTGAGAGATTCTATGGGTAGCTGTACACGTCATCGTTGGAACCACACGTAAGTGTGAGTAACAATCCAAGAGCAAGTCTTATCCGACACTATTCCATTGATATCCCGAACGTTTGTCTGGGCGAGATTAGAATGGTTCTGCAGCACCTTGAAAACGGGAAAGCCTCAGGTGAGGATGGAATTACAGCGGAGCTTCTGAAAGCGGGTGAAAAGCCAGTACTTAAAGTCCTTCAGAAGATCTTCAACTCCATCCTACATGGTGGCACTACTTCGGAGGCGTGGAGTAGAACTGCAGTGGTCTTGTTCTTCAAGAAAGGTGACAACGCTCTCTTGAAGAACTATAGTGCCGTTTTCGAGAGTCATTACGTATCGTCTCGCACGCAGACTCGACGACTTCCAGCCTCCCGAACAAGCCGGTTTCCGAAAAGGCTTTAGTAGCATAGACCACATACTTACCCTTCGGCAAATTGTACAGAAGTCCGAAGAGTACAATCTGCCACTTTGCCTTGCGTATGTGGACTATGAGAAAGCCTTTGATTCCGTGGAAATATGGGCGGTGCTACAGTCCCTTCAGCGGTGTCAAATAGACTGTCGGTATATCGAAGTGCTGAAGTGTTTGTTCAGTAGGACTACGATGGCTATCCGAGTATAGAACTAGATTACGAAACCTATCCAACTGCAGAGGTGTAAGACGGTGACGTTATATCCCCAAAGTTCACTCAGCGAGCTACGAAGAAGGCTATGCTTGGGGTTTCTGTGCATGATAAGAATTTAAATGAGGATATCCGCAGTAGAACCAGAGTAAACGATACCCAACGGATTAGTGAGTTGAAGTGGTAATGCACCGGCTATATAGCTCGAAGAACCGACAACCGATGGGGAAAAAAGTTTCTCGAGTGACAGCCTCGTAACGGTAGGCGTAGTGTAGGACGACCCACCACTAGATGGAGTGACGACCTGTTAAGACATGGAGGTAGTCGATGGATGCAGGTGGACCAGCACCGTGCTTTGTGGCATTCCTTGGGGGAGGCCTATGTTCAGCAGTGGTCTTGTGAAGGGCTGTAATGATGAATGAAGACAATTAAATCAATTTTAGCATAGCTATAATGTAATATACCTACCATAGTTTTTCTTTTGTACTATTGTACACTTACATGTATCTGTTCTAAGCAATTTACTCGTATTGTTAAGACTGATAATAATCTATCGCTACTTGGGGTCGCAAACCGGGATCCCGAATCTCGAAAATACCGGGATACCGTACTGAAACGAAAGCTTTAAAATACCGGGATTGAGTGAACGGAAACCGGTATTTACCACTTTTTCGGTATTTAATTATAAATCTATGTTAAATAATATTATGTCAAAAAAAAAAAATAAAAAGCCCACGCTTTTCGCGTGGTGGATGCTATGCCATGCAGTTGCTTTTTACGCTTCGGCTCGACTATCTCACTACTCTGGAGTGAGTGAGAGATAGTATCTATTCCCGAGTCCTGAGCCGACGACGAATCCGCTCGCTCGCTTATACAACTAATGACGGTGCCAGTCGCCAGTGTAATGATCGCATTTGGAAGAGAAGCGGCACTTTTCCACCAGCAATGCCCTGCCCATGGTATATAGTTAGCGATATTAGACGTGCGCTATAAAAAAGAAATCAGTTCCCAAACTCAACTAAGAGAACTGGAAGATGACGATTCTTATGACTCTGCTTTGGAATGTTATGGAGAAGATTACTATGACGAGGGAATGGCTGGGTGTTACCACCTGCTTGGGATCCTATAATTAATAAAATTAAATCCCAAAACAAGCACACAATTGCAAGACTTCAAGATAAGCCCATTCTGCGTACATCGGACCAAAAATTAATAATTGTTAATTGAAGGTAGCTATGTTTAACTATGACACTGGGACGGGAATATAAAATAAGATAAAATACGCAATAAAATTCGTAAAATTTAGTTTCATTTAAATTTCTTCAATTCATTTGTAAATAAATTTATAACATTCTTTGCTATCGAATTTAACCTATGAACCAGATTTTCTCCTTCTCTAGAGATATCGCTTTTGGAACCGGTGGTAGATTTTAACGTTCATAGAAGTTTTAGATGTCGTAAACCGAAGAATATATATGACTTTCTAATTACACCATGGAGCAGAGAAAGCTCTTACTCGATTTCCATGAAAAAAGTGAAGAAAAAAAATAAAGTCGCCCAAGAGCACTTTATGTTTTATTAATGCTGAGGATAAAGAATAATTATAAGAACATGAAGAAGTAAGCGTATGAAAAAGTTACTTAGCAGGAGTTTTTTATGTTATTGTTAAGGCTGATTACTAGAGGTTTCTTATGTTTAAATAGTTTAAACTAACTTAGCAGCAGTGAGTTATCTAATAAACTTTCAATAAATGATTGGTTTTTTTAAAATAAATGTGATTTTCTTATCTTAACACACTTTTATTGATGACAATTCCCTTATGAAAATTACGGTCACATTACATATTTTTAATATTTACCCCACTATGTTAAAAAAACGAAAATACCGAAATTTCGGTATTCATTAAAAACTAATACCGAAAACACCGGTTTTTGAAAAGAGGTCCGGTATTGCGACCCCTAATTCGCTACGTCGCATTACACATCTGATTGCGTATATGGAATGACCCAGGGACCATATTCGCAATTATAAAAATAGATCAACAACGAAACCGTGTGACGTCTTTACACGTTCTTGAACGCGTCAGCTTAAGGTGACCTCTACTTGATATCGTGCACTCCTGAAGTCCCCAGCAGTGGAACATTTGTCGAAAATTTTCTAAACAAACAATTAATAATATGGAATCTGCCGTCGATATACACAAGGAAAATTTTGTAAAAGTTGAACCTAAATTATAAGCATACTATCGACTCGCTCCGGTTTCGCCGGGATCTATTATGTGCCGTAATTTATATTTAAGATGCAAATAAATACCTATACAGAATAGTTCATTATCATCAAACACTATTTATGTGATCAATTTTACGATTTCTCTGATAAAATCTGTAAACTATTCAGAAATATAGCCTAGACCACTGCTGCCTATACTCTCTATTCATTCGTTAAGTTTCCATTCGTTAAGTTTCGTTAAGTTTCATTATCATCGGTTCAGCCAGAAGATTAGCCGGTACATACATACACAATTAAAAAAAATGGTTATTCATGTTTTCATAGCATGGAAATAACCTCCAGCCTCAATAAAAGACGGTTATTTTGAAAATACAGAGATATAATTCAATTTTAGTTTTACAGGGTTATTGAAATTAACCAGCCAAATTTGCAAAGAAGGTTCAGAATAAGGAATATAGGTAAACGGTGAAGAAAAATTGATTAAAAATATCTCATTCCGTTCTTTTTATCTTTCAGATTCAAAATGCGTGGTCATGCATAATTCTTACCGCGCGCAGGCAAAAACGCCGTTGCCCATAAATTTACATTCAATTTGCGATAATTTCAAATAAAAGTAGAGGCCCCATTCACTAGTATTTTTAAAATCTGTAATAACGGTATTTCATTATTTATATATTTGAACTTAAAATTAAAATTTGGCTACTCTTAAAATAACCCTGTATATAGATTTTAAAACCTTTATAACCTTTATAGCCTTTTAGTCGCAATAAAAATGATGTAAAAATAATTACGTCAATTCATTAATATGTCATAGACTGTCAGAATTACACTTAAATATTTGTTAAAGTAAATATTAAAAATACACAGCGTGGTTACACAACTCTACTTACAAAACTTAAAATATATGGTTAAATATGGTTAGTGTCTCATTATTTCAAAGAAATATTGACCACTTTAACATCCATCCAAAAACCTACATTTGTTCGTTAATTAATACATAAATAGCATGTTGCATAAATATGAATATATAAGTAGTACACCTTCTTGAATTGCACGCCTTTCATGTATTTTCCATAGACTTAATACATTACTAGGGTAGTATTTTCATATTAAATGTTTATTAATAATTACTACCGTGGGTCTTGTAAGAAGCGACTATTCGAAATTCCGTAGAAATTTCATGTCCTCCAATAGAAGATATAATAATTTAGTGTAAGTCATATTTAGATTTCCGACCGATTATCAAAATCTCAATACCGTATTTGATTATGTCAAACGTTCCCTTCAGTGGGAGAGTAGCGGAGCTTTACGAGTGGATAATAATGAAGAAGAAGTATATTGATGATTTTGTTTAAAATATTATATTGGAAAGCAGTTTTAGCTTACAATTAATACTGAGTAGCAATACCTGTTAAACTTTTAAACTGTATTAACATTTAAGGACAAAGAATTAGAGGAAATCACCAAAGGTGTAAAGAACACAAACTCACAAAAAAGTGTAACCACTTCCAATGTGTACTCAACTGACTTCACAGATTATAGTTCAGACAAAAATAATTCTTCCGGTAAGGCAACGTACGTTATAGACTGGGATGAAAGTGATGATAGCGAGCAGTCATGCCAAATAGATCATGAACAAAGAGTGTTTAATTTAACAGATGAAATAAGTAAATATGTGCCAGAAAATAAAGAAATCAAAACTGTACAGTGTTTCACAGATCATCAAGTGTCTAATGTAGCATCTAAAATTTCCCAAAACAGAACATTTGTAGCCCAAGAAACGTACACGCAAACAAGTAAAACAATTATTGAATTGGCAAAATCAGATGGGTATGTTGTGAAATCGGCCGACCTTAAAACTTTACAAACACAAACTTCTTGCATCTCTATAATTGAAAGTCAAAGAGTGGAATACAATTTTTATAATGAAATATGTAGCTCCAACTCAGTTCAAAACAACTACAATAATAATTGGTACGAAATTGATGAAAATGAAGTAACAAGTCGAATTTTAAGTAACAGTCTAGAAGACAGGTCTTCTAAATTGCAAGACAACAGAGCGGAATCAGAAGACGACGAAGAAAAAGTAGTTGAAAGTTACAGACGTGAAACTACTAAAGAGGAATTTCTGAATAAACTTTTAGATGAAAATCGATTAGAAGCGTCAAGATCAATTGAAGACACTTGTGATATATCGCTTTCTTCTAATTCAGATATAGAAGAAGACTCATTAATGGAATCTAATTGTAATAATATAATCGATAAAAATAATTTTAGTAGCAAAAACAGCGATATTAGTTGCACACCAAAGTCTATTGATAATGAGGTTAAGGATTTATATAACAAAGTATCTAATTGTTTAGGAGTAATTCAAGTAAATCAAAATATCGAACCTCGACTCGACTCTCAATGGGTTGGTGTACTTACACCGTTAACAGAAGAATCTACAACTAAAAAGGATAGTTTTATTGATATGACTCCATGCCTTGGAATACTAACTGAAACTAATAGCAAAGAGGTTAATGAAGGTGTTTTATTTACACAAAATACAGGACTTAAAATCAAACTGATGCCAGTCGAAAAAAACAATGATACATTGAACGAACCTTTCAAATTACCACCAATTCAAGATACTAAGTCGTATCAAAATAGCTTGAATTTTTTGTTATCTGCCCGTTGTGAAAATAAAGGGAATAGTACTAATTTTAATAACAGTTCCGTAGGTAGATGGGAATTCAGAGCCAAGAATTTAGCAGCGGGAGAAAGTCAATATATAAATGAACCAAAACCAAGTACGTATATAAATCTTGTTGTATTATAATTCTAGGAATATGTACTATAATTATATATGACTGAGACCCCAAACGCGTGTTAGCAAACTACGTCACTGCATGCGAGCGTGCATCGTATACGGCACTAGTTGTAGTATGTGAATCTGTATCAAAGTCTCCGCACTTCTCGCGTTCCATGCTATTGAATGCAAGTGGTGTGAAGTCTCCAAAAACAGTGATCTTGGATAGATGCAAGAAATACTAGGTACTTAGACGCACCTCTAAATAATGACATGGATACTGTAGTCTCTCCTTTTATGGAATAAGAGTGACAAACCAGAGCACAGTCCACCTGATGGCAAGTGGATGCTGTGCCCCGTAGATATCTAGATTTATCTTCGTTTATCAAAATGCAGATGCATTGTCACACCTGAGTAAGATAGAATGCCCCGTTTCCAGTAAAAAACATCTCTAGTTCTCTACACTCACTATATGAAACACATTAGTACGAAGATGCTGTTTTACGCTATTCCGCCATCTGTTGAAAGCCAAATTAGTGTATTGGCTCATTATTTACATTTCCCAAAAAATGGGCTAACGTTAAGAACATGACTAGTGTTGTGTTTGCTGCAATACCCTGAGTTAGAAGGGCTAATAAGTTCCTATATATAAGTTCAGATAGAATATTTTTCGGAAGAAATTTTGACAAAAGGCACCTTTACCAACATTCATCAGGAACTTATAACTTCTTTTATAAGAAGAAAGGGGCAGTCGAGCAAAAGGCTTACCTACTGGCAAATGACTACCGCCTCCCATGAACATCCGCAATACCAAAGAAATCACAAGTGCATTGTCGACCTTTTAAAAATGAGTACCTATACTCATTTTGGAAGTCACTAAGTTGGATTGGTCCTGAATAAATTCCGCAATACACGGTAAAGTAAATTTTCTAATGTAGCGGCGCTGTCGTCGCGCCACTAGCACACCGAAACACACCGAAGCCTAAATCGCGCTATTAACATTCCGAATAATAGACAGTATATATAGAACTTCTCCGAACTACATGGAGTGTCGGCCGCTCCCCGGGCAGAACACCTTGCCCGGCGGGAGATCTCCCCTTTTCCTTCTACGGCCACAGTGGTGACCACCCGACGTGATCTGAACACGTAACCAACAACCTTCGGAAACTTCAAGCTTCGTCATCGTCATAGAATACCCCACCCATTCGCTCCCGAGCAGATATCGTCTGCAGTCTTCATATCCTGCAAGCCATCTAGCTTCACAAGGTTCATCGCAGCACTGGAATAATAATGCTTCCTGTTCCTTCAAGCTACTCTCTGCGCCATACAGTGTTCGGCACGGCTCTGAGCCTTACTGCTCGCCTCTGCTTCATGGCACTCTCGCAGATTACTTGCCTTGTTCTCGACTCACCGCAGACTACAAGGCAATCTCCTGGCACTTGCACATTCGTCGACAACGAGACTTCACTATCGACCTCCGGTATGAGTAGGGGGGTGATGTAGCGGCGCTATCGTCGCGCCACTAGCACACCGAAACACACCGAAGCCTAAATCGCGCTATTAACATTTCGAATCATAGACAGTATATATAGAACTTCTCCGAACTATCACTAGGAGTGCTGGCTGCTCCTCGGGCAGAACACCTTGCCCGGTGGGAGATCTCCCCTTTTCCTTCCTCACAGGCCACACTAAGAAAATGCACGATGTAAAATTGCCATCAATACACTAAATTACGGCTAAAAAATTAAAGTCGAAGTAGAAGAATGTCTTTAAGAAACCTGCATGTCCGATAAAAATTAACAAAAAAATATTTCGAAGACATGTAAAGTCCGCCATGCATTGGGGTGGCAGTTTGGCGGTCATTTCCTTGCTCTCAAACCCTATAATAAATGAGAGGAGACATGTACTTAACAGTGGAACGTATAAAGGCTGTAACTTTACTTACACAACTTATATTGGAACTATATTAACATTTTGATTTTATACTAGCGATCTTCTCCAGCTTTGCACAGGTGATTTCTGGATCTAGGCATCAGCACCACCTACTTGGGTTCAACTGTGATTATGGACCATCCCCCACTTAAACACACTCAAAAAATCATAAGTATTGGTTCAGCAGTTTAGGAGGAGTTCAGTGACAAACACACTGTAACGATACCCCTCCTCTCTAACTATATCTATAAATTTATTATATTTTATATTTATTTTGTGTAAAAGTGGCCGTCTATAAAATATAATATTAACCCATTAACGCCTAAAATAAAACTATTGTTATTTTTTTCATGTTATTATATTTAGTACCTACATAAAATATTTATAAGAAAAAAATTAAAAAATAACTGTGTCACATCGCACTTATAAGGGTGTACACAGGCGAGTACAGTGGGCGGGTCAAGAGTGAATTTCTCCGAAACAACTTCGCTCTACGCATAACGTTTTTAGGCAGGTATCGCAACGCCATCGGACGCGACTGTAACATACAGCACAACGCAGCGGATTTTGGATGCGCTGTGGGTTGAGGCCGTAATTTTTTTTTGTCTAACCCAACCACTGTGAGCCTGAAGGACGGAATTTAGACTTTGTTTGCTGCAGGTAAGCGTGCGCAATGCTTCTTCGAAAGGACAATTGGTCCATGTATGTCACAGTCATATTTTCTGCTGATTTGCTCAGTAAAACATGCAGTCTCCAAGCGTTAGAGATAGACATATCCAGTAAATAGGTAAATATTACCCACCACCACTTCTTTCCTCTTATCGAAACTCGGTACAGACTTATGAATTGTCCCATCTGATCTACACCACCCATTCCTTTGTTGTAACGTTGTTCACGAATAGTCCTGGTATATTCACATCTACTTTTTGTCTTCTTGTACTGCACCACCTTTTTACTTTTCCTACAGGTTCAATTTTGTCAAAATTGGTACCCATAGTGACAACGTTGTTGTCTTTCCAGCTTACAATCGCAATTTCATTTTTTGTATCAAAGCGATAATCATATTCAGCTCTAGGTCGTTTTTTCATTTCTTTCACAGAAAGAAGTGGGCATTTTTTTGTTCTATTATCACGAATTGTACCAGTTTTCCTTGAAGACGCAAATCATGCAGTAATTGGTAATTCGTGAAAAAGTTATCAAAATACACTATATGTTCTTTACTATCTTGTATGGGCATTTTTGCGAGTAAAGTTTTTACCACTCTTGCGCTAAGACTATCCGACGAAGCGTCTGCAAATTTGCCACAGTAAATATCAAAAGTATAGCAGTAACCGTCTGAACTAGTTGCGACCCAGTTTTTGTATCCGAACCGTACGGGTTTTCCTCTAATAAATTGTTTAGCTGGATGATGACCGAAATATTTTATCATAGACTCGTCCACAGATAAATTTTCGTGGAAAACTCCTCACTGAAAAAAGTGTCGCTGTATCAAATCGCACAACGGTCTCACTTTGAATATCTTGTCGGTTGTATTATTTGCTAAAGAATTATCAACAAGGTGTAAGTATCGCTTTATATCTGTAAATCTATTTCGAGACATGCAACTTGCCACTATCTGAATGCCCAGATCATCATCTAAACTCCAATACACACGTTCAGATGGTAGTTGATGGTAGCCAGTAAGAATCAATATACCCAAAAATCTTTTCAAGTCAGAGATGTCCAGCTCAAAGTTGTGCTTATTATTTTGACCAGCGTACAACAAACTGTTATTTATTATGAGATACATTACATTGTCATCAAACATTTTTTCAAACAGCGTAACTGGACTATAATCTTTTAAGCTTTCTATTATACTTTATTGTCGGTTTTGTAATGTATCTATAGCATCATAAACAGCACTGTATTGGGGTAAAGTTTTCCTCCAAACAGGTACTTCGGGCTGCTCACGTGGTTTCTAGGCCGCTTATTTCTAGAGTGTTCTGCGGTCCCAGCCGTGTTTGATAGGGGCTCATCGTCACTGTCATTCTAGTCCGAAACGTCATAATCAGGATGGTGGTGAATTACCTCCAAAGTCCCTGGAACATCCCTTGGAAGTGTTGAAGAAACTAAGTCGTCTTCATTACCCTCTTATTTGTCACTTACGGTAGCATTTGATAAAACGCAGCGGTTCGCCATTTAATGGTTTTTTAGTACAACTGTAAAAAAGTAAAAATAACATATATATATATATATATATATATATATATATATTATATATATATATATATATATATATATATATATATATATATATATATATATATATATATATGCCCATTGTACCTGTCTGTGTACAGAGGTATAAATCATCGTAATATGGCAGATTTAATAAAGATTTTATTTAAAATACAATTTGACAAGCAGTAATAAAGTATTATCGAACGTTAAAATCTAAAATTTATCCAAAACCTTTTTAAAATACTTATTTAAAATCAACAATAATTACTTACCTCCAAATTAAAGTCACAAAACGGTTTTACGGAATAAAATTTTTGACATTAGTTTACGCGTCACTGTCAAAACGATTGATTTTATAGTCTAATAGAGTCATATAGTTTCAAAATAAACAATTAGTTCGATTGAAACAAATGCCAAAGTACATCAAATATCGACATAACGAGGTGTACTCAAGCAAGTACAGAGCGCGTTAATGGGTTAATGTGACCAGAATAAATATGTTCTTTCCCATGGATCATTCTAAAAGTTTAGTTGTAGGCCGTTTGTAATATTTATGGCGTGATCGACTTAGAACCCTTATGTTATGTTGTGTTTGTTTAGTAAATTCGTTCTTTTAGCTGTCTTTTGGAAAAATTAATATTCACTGGAGCAATCGAAAGCCGTTGGTAGTGCCTCATATTATCTTGAGCTAAGGAACCCCGTTAACTTTAAAATGTGGAGGAGACACACAGCTCAACACACGCGGTGTGTTAATAACCAACAAATGCGCGCCCGATGTTTTTCGATGTTGAGTTGGGAACTGGACTAAAGTCCACATTAAAATAACTGACAAACGAGTAAAAGAGGGCTTGGCGCCTTGGTAATGCTTAAGCACAAATATTGACCGAAGTTGCACATGTTAATACGTGTAAACGCCATACAGAATATGATCAAATCCAGCCACAGTGAATGTACGTCACACGGTTTTGAAAAAACGTCGAATAATAGGCACACTGGCCATAAAAAGCCCTCCGTGGGCGCCACCACCTCCTAGACCGCTGCTCTGCAGCAGCTGCAGATGTGATGTAAGTATATAGCATTACCACGGATTGCATGATCAGCACGACTACTAGTCGCAAAGCGTGTCATGAGTATACCGCTTATCTCATGGGTATGGGGTCCCATGTTGCGCGACTTTCGATCACAGCCTTGAGAGTCTCCTCAGATCCTCACTCCAGCTATCACCCGCATGAGGTCGACATATATGCTCTCTCAACCCATACAACAACAGATATAGCCAAAAGGAAGTTATAAGATAATAGTAATAATTTGCCATCAGAAAGAGTTTGCGTTACAGACGTTGAGAATATGCATTTTTCGATCATGTTTATCTCAACCACCAACAAGTTGCCTTCATTCATTCAAAGGTGGGAAATTTACAAAGATATATTATGATTTCTTATATTTACGCGAACACTACACATTGAAATAATACTAGTTTTTACGGAATTTATCGCGTATATTTAACTTTTTAAATACCCGACGTTTCGAACGCTTTACAGCACTCATGGTCACGGGCAGGACTGAGATGTTCAACGTCCATATGTCATAGTTAACCGCGGTTACAATAGATTAGAATTTAACTTTTGTTCCGATCTATGCAGTATGAACTTATGGTATCTTGAAGTCTTGCAGTTGTATGCTTGGGTTGGGATTTAATTTTATGACTGCTGTAAAGCGTTCGAAACGTCGGGTATTTAAAAGTTAAATATACGCGATAAATTCCGTAAAAACTAGTATTATTTCAAAGTTATATTATTTTGTTGTTATATAAAACATCATGGAGGTCAGACAGTCTGTAGCCCCGTAAGGAAAGAACCCGACTTGTACAACGATACTTAGGTGTGAGTCAAACAAAGACGCATAGAACGCCATTGAGAACAGCGACCCACCAAACAACCATCGCAGAGACGCAACGCTGCAAAACGCAACAAGCATGAATACGACTATCGTCGGGCTTACAACATCCCAAGGTCCCTCATACAATTCCAACAGACATCACCACTCGTATACCTTCATCGAATAGAACCACAAGATACGTCGAATCAGGCGCAGCATACCCGCAGATTCATCACAAGACGCAATACCGCAAGTAGCAGTAAACATCATGCAATACACATACGGATGTTGCTCCTTCTCAACACAACCACCCATCACATCACATGATCGCCATTGACTTCGATCGACAAAATTTTATATACACCCATGGGTATGCGTCTCCGGCAACTCCCTTATAAAAGCAAACTACATGAACACGATCGATACAAGAACACGCCCAATAGATTAAGAAAAACTTTACGACCAATTTTCCAATTATATTATAAATGTTATTTATCTTTATTACTATAATATGTTTGACTTGTATTTCCATTAATTAATAAATAATAAATTAATTTTGAATATTTCAACAGAGTTTTAATAAATTTAATCGTTTTTTTAAAACAATTTCAAGCATTTTCTTTACTTTACTTTATGCTATTAATGTATTCTTGTTTAAAACATAACTTATAAGATATTTTTAGACGGCTTTATATAGAAATTAATTATTAATAAATATGCGGCGTCACAACACGTACAGTAATTTTATTATATATAATAAAGATTTAAAAATTATATAGTTAATAAAATAACCCGTATTTTGTAGAGTCGCGACTGCCAAATGAAATATTCCATCTGCCGCCGATTCACACGGGAGTTATACAAAACATATACACCAACTACAGCGATTATAACTCGTCTTCGAATACTTCGAAATTAAACTTATCCACGGCGGAAACGCCATGTGAATCGATCAACATCCACGACAAGATTAGAGAGCTGAAGATGACGGACAGGAGAGCAAAGAATGTAATAGTGTGAGTTATGTAGAACTTTTGAAATTCATGTGTCGATAGCCTGGCCTAGTGGTTTTAGTACCACACTTTGGCATTGCAGGAACCTTGTTCACATCCACGATTCCATGATTTTCAATAACATAAAAAATGGTTTCCTGGGTTTTTTCTGTTTGTTTTTTTACGCCGATTACAAACAATCTTATCAAATAAAGCAGTGGGTTCATGACCTTTTATCATAGTGATAAGGGACCGTTTGGCAGATCTTTTGTCTTACCACGGACTACTTACTTTATGGTAATGCTGATTTTTAAGATTGTTTTATAAAAAAATTACGTTTTGAGGACCCCCGTCAGGAGCGAAGTTTCTTACGTTATTTATTCAACTCTGATCCTGATTTTATACATATGTAGATTCCTATTAATTAGATTAGTGTATTTTTGTAATGCCATAAGATGCAGCTCTTCTTTATTTTACTTTCTCTCTCTCTCTCTTTCTCTTTCTTACTCAAATTTTGTGTATTTTATTTTTATTTCTGCCGAAAATGTAATATTACTTTCGTACTTCGTAAAGCTAAAGTAACATCCTTCGTAATTTTTTTGGGTTGAAATTTATCAATAAGACCTATGATATAAGGTACGGTTTGACTCATTAAAATAGATTGGTTAATGAAAACTCTTCTACTCCAGTTTATAGATGCTTGCAGTCAATATCAAACAGAGAAAGCTACAGGGACCTCGGAGCTTTTAAATAAATTGGCTTGACCGGGACGCAGCAGTGAAAGTACTGCTATTCGGCAGTAGCAGCTTTTTATACGTGGTAGAGGCACGCTGCAGCTATATTATGGTTGTAGCACGAATGGTACGGCTCGACCAGGGAAGGATCACGCTCTCACAGAATACCAGCGTAAAATAGCAGCTTAATGCTGCTGTGTTTCGTATGGTGAGTGTAGAGATCCGGAGACCCTTTTTACTGGAAACGAGGCATTCCATCTGATACCACATGGGTGTCAACGCATCTGAATTTTGATTCTTAATTGAGGATAAATGTAGATGTCTATGGGCCACAGCATCCACTTACCATCAGGTTGACTGTGTGCTCGTTTATCATCCTCATTCTATAAAAAAAAAAACAGAAATAGCTAAGAAGATGGCCCAAGGAAGGTAGCAGAAAGAGAGTTCTAACACCTAGTTAAAACCTGGAAGCTTGACTGGTAAAGGATCATAGAATATCCACTTAAAATCTTAGAAAAATGTTGTTGTTCTGAGAATGGTGAGGGTAGAGGACCGGAGACCTTTTTTTCTGATGGTGAGACATTCTGTATTAGTCGTAGTTAGTTTCATGATTATATAGCTATATTATGGTTGTAGTACGAATGGGTCTTTTTTATAGGTAAAGGGTGACAAACGAGCACACAGTCCACCTGATGGTAAGTGGTTGCTGTAACCCATAGACATCTACATCTATCTTCGTTTGCGAATCAAAATGCAGATGTTGTCAGCCTTGAGGACTTCCAGTAAAAAGGGTCTCCGTTTCTCTACACTCACCATACGCAACACAGCAGCATTAAGCTACTATTTGACGCTGGTATTCTGTGAAAGCGTGGTCCTTCCCCGGTCGAGCCGACCCATGTACAACTGTACATTTAATATAGCTGCAGCATGGCTCTACCACGTAAAAATATATAGTATGTCTATGTATATGTATATGGTATTATATATATATATATATATATATATATATATATATATATATATATATATATATATATATGTCTATATATGGTATAATGAAATACTTTAGTAGTTAGCCACCTGACCACCCCATATATATGTACACCCATGGGTATGCGTCTCAGGCAACTCCCTTATGAAAGTTTTACATAAACAACCTATATATACAAGAAAACGCTGCCACATTACAACAACACGCATAATAGATTAAGAATTTTTTTTTAACGCATTTTCCAATTACAATACGATCGGGAAAGGAGCTCTCACAGAATACCAGCGTAAAATAACTGCTTAATGCTGCTGAATTTCGTATGGTGGGTGTAGAGAACCGGAGATCTTTTTTACTGGAAACGGTGCATTCCATCTTAGTTCTCAGGCGTGGCAGCGCTTTTCCATTTTGATACTTAATCGAGGATAGATGTAGATGTTTATGTACCACATCATCCACTTACCATCAGGTGGACTGTGTGCTCGTCGATTCACTTTCATTCCATTAAAAAAATGATTTCGATTAGACGAGATGACAATACAATGGACGGATTCGGTATTAGTGAGACTTTGATGATTAGATATACTATAGAATATTGTTTTTTTTTTTATTAAAAAACGTTACCCTTACACTAGGATTTTCTCCTGTATCGTGGGGACAGTTTACAAACATAAATTGTACAAGAACTTACATCCAGACCCGGAACAAATATTTGTAGGCAATACAAATACTTGTTCCGTGCGGGATTCGAAGCTGTGACCCCCAGCGCAGCCACTCATTGCTAAGCCACTGCGCCACGGAGTCGTCAAATATAGATGTAATAATCATTTTTTTTTCTATTTATTCAATTTCTGTAGGGATTGCTGTGGGTAACACGTTAAGTAGGTACTCGTAATATAAATTACCGGTTTTGTGTGTTAAAACTTGTTTTGTGTGTTAAAAGCCATATTATGTAACCGTTTTAATTAAAAATGCTTTATTATAAATAATTTATAAATAAAAATAATATAAATATTATTATTATTATAATTTATTATAATATAAATTATTGTAATGATTTATAAATAAATATAATAATTAAATGGGATTTATACATAACGTTTACAATAAATTTTCAAAAGTAATTGTTAAAAGTTAAGTTATTAATTTACAAAATTGTTATTTTACTATTTTTATTGTCCCGCAGATAAAATTTAGCTCATGGGTTTTACTTGCTACCAATATATTTATTACGTAAAAATACAAATATACATAACGCAAGTAATAATAGATATTATATTTTTTGTGACTTGAAATAAATATGTCTTAATTTCTTAAAAAAAATTACAGCATGTCAAAACTCCACTGCTGAACAAAGGCCTCCCTCGGGCCATGTTCGGCAGGCAGATCAGCAAGCGAAGTTTTTAATTTTTAATGTTATTAGGAAGACGTTGCTGCCCATCTTCTGGGTTGTGTCTCTGGGTTTCGTTGCCTCTTACGATACCCACGGGGTAATATGTGGTAGTGAACATTCTTACGGCCTCTATACTGGTTACCAGTTGACCAAATTAGTTAATAAATGTTGGTACTCAGTCTGTAGCATCCGTCAGCAGATTGCTTGTATGCTCTACCAAGAATGCATTAATATCAAACTGTAAAATAAAATTTTTGTGTAGGAGAAAAGAGATTAGAAGCATTTCACCTACAAGTGTATCGTCTCCAGAAGGCAGCAAGTCTTGTGACGTAACTCAGAAAGCGTGTGAAGCCCTTTGCACTGAACTATTGAGAAAATTAAAATCCACATCATGGTAACTTTGCTATTTTTTCTATATTTTAACAATAATAAAAAAAGATATGCTTTTCATTTAATAACGACAATTGTCGCAGATTATGGTACATGCAAACTTTCTCAAATCCTATGTTTAAAACTCTTAATACTCTTTGAGTAATGAACCAAAGGAGACGGCATCGGAAGGGATACACGTCTGTAAAAGATACGAGAGTCCGACTCGTACCTGTTAAATAAAACTACTCGTAGTTGTTCTGCGTCGTGCACCATTCCGCAAGTGATCGTGCTAGTCAATCTAGCTCCGATAAAATTGCCGAATTGCAGTAGTATTTTCATGCAAAAAACATATCTACAAATTTTGTGATTCAGTTTTGCATTTGTAGTGAAGTAAGTAGTGTGTTTTCCTCCTTTTCAAATCAAAGTCAATCAAAAGTCAAATACTTGTTTCTGCTAATAATTCAATTGAGTAGTGTCTGCAACATGGGTATGAGGGGTTATAGATACGTTATCACCTCTGAGGACTAAATTTCATTTGCTCTCAGCCTGTGAATACTGACTCTATATAGCCTTCAGACTGGAACACAACAATACTGCTGTTTGATGAAAAATAGATAAAAGGAACAGGTGAGAAACAGAAGAGGTGTCCTAGGTGCTGGGCCTGAAATTTTAGTTCTGAGCGTACGTCGTTCTTGGCCCCATAGTTTCCACCGTATTAGAGGCGGTATTTTGCGCACGGTGCGATGGAGGAAGTTCCGTTTTTGTTATTTTTTAACACGTCTTGCTTGAGGAGGAATATTGGCAGAAGTTATACTGTCTCTAGGAGGGATCGCCAAGGGGCGGCTGAAGCTGTTGGAGTGTCCATAAGTGTTGACGTGGCCCTGTCGATATGCGACCAATACCAAGAGCTTTAGTCGGTGCGACTCTGAAATATTCCGTATTGTTCTCATCCTCTCTTGACGTCTTGTCCTGGATTAAAATAGGGGTGAATCTTGCGTGCTGCCAAGCTCTCGATACGTCAGTATATATTAATTATTTAAAATTTAACGCGGTATAATCCACTAATTTAGTTTTATTTATTTATTTATTTAGACTTACCAAGTAAGTAGTAAGTAGTAACTAAGTAGTCTTATTCAATATGTCCCAATATTTGTTTCCCATTGATTTACCATGCGCTCGACGCTGAAGGTAAACATTTTGAAGAAACTATATAGTCATCCGTCCATTACAGCCTATATAAGTCCATTATTGAACATAGGTCTTTAACATAGATTGCCTTATTGAGAGGATTTTGGCAAAGTTGGCACGCTTGGCAGGCGGGTTGGCAATCGCAGTTTTTTTTAATTTTTTGTGTTCACCTTCTGTTTTAATTTCCCTGTGTCGGCTCTTACGGTACCCACGGGACGATATGGGGTAGTGGATATTCACATACCGCCACCACACAGTAAAAAAATGACAAATATTTAGAAGGTATGTGAAGTTCGCCTACAGGAAAGAGAATTTTTTTCGCAACATGTTACAGCATCGAGTTGTTATGTCGAAAATAAAAATGTTACCTGTTACGACAAATCGCGTATAATGGTACCCACTGACGAAACGTCCATTAATTCAAATGGAGTGGGAATCGTCCAAAATCGTTCCGTGAATGGTAAAAATATATTCCATTTGGATGGAATTTATCCAGCTCTGGATTTCCAAACGGATTGAAATCCATGCGTCTAGTCCAAATAGAAGTCATCCGCGACCGTCCGTCAATGTTAGAAACGTGCGCTACGCCAAATGGAAGTCGTCCGAATCGTCAGTGAGTAGGCGAATCGGCGTCCATTTTTTGGACGTTATTGTGTCAGTTAATGTTTTGGTGTTGATGTTGGTACATGTGCTCTATTGGTCAAACATAAACTGTGTATTGGATTAAATATATTTTTATTATGTAAACTATGGGCTGTGATGGGTGATAAACGAGTACAGTCCACTTGATGTTAAGTTGATACTATAGCCCATAGACTGAATCTGTCATCGAATAAGAATCAAAATGAAAATGCATTGTCACCCCTGGTTCTTTACACTCAGCATATGAAACGCAGCAGATTTAAGCTGCTATTTTATGCTATTTTGTGAGATCGTGGTCCCACAACGTTCGATCCGACCCATTTGTGCTAATTGAATTTTAATTGAATAATATCCACTATATGTTGATTTCTTCAGTCAACTGCTCCACCATGATCTATACCATATCTAGAATGGGAGTGACAAACTAACACACAGTCCACCTGGTGGTGGGTGCTATGGCCCATAGACATTTACATGTATTCTCAATTAAAAATCAAAATATAGATGCGTTGTCATCTTTGAAGACTACGATGGATTTCCCCGTTTAGGTTTTTTGTCTTTTTAATGAAATACACGCTGCTGCAGTCACCAGTAATGTACTCGTATTATTATCCATATTGTTATTTCTTTCCATTCCGTACGACTGACAATACGCTATGCGTCTAAATGGAAGTATCGTCAATGGTACCGTATCTGGATACATTTTTATTTGGAGTGCATCCATTTGGAAGTATGCTAAATGAACGTATCGTCAGTGGGTATCATTAGATTGTTTTGGTAAAGTCTAAGAAGTAAACGTTGTTGCACAAATTTAAATAATAATTAAGTGGCCGTGCAGAAAATTTATTCGATAGAGTTTAGGCAAATTCTTTGCGGTGCTATGTTTGTGTGCATCGTTTACGCACGCTACACACGCGTTACACGGCTAAAGACCGAGCGCAGTGCTCGCTTAAACAATTTTGATCCTTTAGGATACATAGTAAGTACGGTTTAGAAATAAAATTCTGGGATGTTTTTGTATAATAGTTTAGTATATTTATTACAATCAACATAGAATGAAAATAAAAAAGAAATGTGTTAGACAAATACACTATGCATATATATTTAAGTAATTCAATATTTTCGTTCTGCGATGTCATTAATGTTTGCTAGAGAGTACAGACAAATTTAACATGCCTTATTGGTATTTGCCCGAAAATCAAACATCGTGATTTCATTAAAACAAAGTTTTTGTAAATGCAAAACATTTAAATTTAAATATTAATAAAAGGAGAAGGTAGGAAGGGAAAAATTTTAAAGCTTGGGATAGGTTGACGTGCTGGCGTCTGTACTTTATGCACGTCTAGCGCTGAGCAAAATTAAAAACTCACGTGTTCTAGAGACGAATTCGTATTAGAGTTACGTTCTGCAAGAATTTGTCTAGCATATGCCAATCCTGTCTTATTTTTTTCTTTTAGTAGTGCACTGGTAACGTGCTCTTTTTATTCGTCCCATTGTCTACAACAAAATTATACATTATAACCAGCTACCTACAGGGCATACCCTAGATCAGGGATGGGGAACCAATGGCACGCGGCAAAACATTTTGGGCACGCCACCGATAGACAAAGTACGTAACAAACACTATGAAAACAAAAGAACGCGACTAAGCCTTTTTTTTTGCATGGGGAAATGCCTACGCATACCCGCCTCGCGGGGGCAAGGACGGGTTATGTCGGACTCGCACTGACTAAAACCCCATGGTGTTCCACCTTTGTCGCATATTGGCAGGGCTACGGGAACGCTTTCGCACACATCCGCGGCCCTACTAGCGCCTGCCGCCCCATGGCAGCACCTCCTCGGGAGAGGAAAATTCCTCCCCGTTCTCCTTCCCAGGTAAGGCGCACCAGAACACATGGCGCGCCTTCCTCCACGGCCTCCAACTACGTCTGTGCAACAGACGCCCCCGCGTCCGATGCACAAAGGCCATGGGGCCAGGAAAAACGAGCACTTAGAAGTACTAGCCTTCCCGACCCCATCGGCGGATCTGGTCTATGGCTCTGCCGCCAACCAAGATTCGGCTGCGGAGGGTAGGGAGAGCGGCGCCTCGCAATACCGACAATCCTCTCCCCCCGCAGCCCCACCACCACCGCATCAACGGTGCGGCCCCGTTTGAGTCGCGAAGGATAGGGCGAGTGGCGCATCGCCATACCAACACTCCTCTTCCTCCGCGACTCCACCTCGGCTGCAGCGGTAGAGGGTGCGCGAGTCCCCACTCGCTGCAGTCCAGTCCACCAGCACACATCCGAAGTGGGCTCCCCAAGCCCACTCGGAGCGGCCACCTCAGGCCGGCCCTTCACCTCGGGCCAGCCACGTGGGTTCCTCTTTGTTCACCGTGGGAGACCAAGCCACGGCTACTAAGCCCCCCGCCACGACAAGGCGGGAACCCGTTCGGGGGGGGAACGCGACTAAGCCTACGTTACGGAGTCAGTAGGCGCGGTGCGTGGAGTTGCTATTATAGTTTTTATTATTTTCCCAATAATTACTAGGTCTCAATTATTGGATGGCACATCTATGGCCGTTTTAAACATTTATTTACAAAGAATGGCACGTTGATCTTTATAGGTTCGTCGCCCTGCCATAGATCACAATTTATTAGTATTTTTGCATTATTTCATGCGGACATAATGAAATGCAACAGTAGACAAAATCGTATTTTATGAATGGTATCTGAAATGGGTACCCATTATCATAAAAAAAATATCAATGAACATAGCAGGTGGTGGTCGGCGTACAATTTCTGGAAATGTTTTCGTAAAACACGGGAGCGCCTGTGCCTGTGCCTGTGATGCAAAGTGATACGTCCTCGCTCTGGGAAGGCCCGGTCGTCACTGATCGGATGCGCAGTCGATAATATAGTTCACTTTGCCATTTAGTAATAAACGAAATTATTATTTATTTATGAAATAAAATTTAGTTTCCAACAAAGGGTTATCTTAAGATTAATGTGTAATTTTTAAATTAATTAAAAGTGTTTCTATGTAATAGAAAAAAAAAAATACTTATTTCGAACGAAGTTTTCTGGAAATTACGTTATTTCAACAATTTTTTTCTGCTATATTTGGATAGAAAATAAAAAATCTGATCTAGTTACAAACAAGTAGACCTTATACTTATGTTATTTATATTTTTTAATGTTTGAAATATTTTGTCGTTTCGTTGTAAAACGAAGACAAAAATCACTTGATCTTTACTTTTCGGAAAAAGGGTTGTGAATATTAGTGATTTGCCATTATTATAGATAATATGATACATTCCTTTAAACCAGATATTAGATTAAGAACTAGACTATTATAATAAAAATAAAAAATGTTAAAATTAGTTTTCCTGTTCAAACAGCGATCAGATTTGTCCGAAATGAGTTGATTTCGCGCACGGGGCTTTAATTTGCGCCGATTGCTGAATGTGCTACCAAGACATCAATAATTTTGGGGTAGTAATAAAAGCTCCGACAAAAAATAAGAATTGCCCTTACTCAAAATATGAAATCTACTGCCTTAAATACTAACTTTCCGACTACTTTTGTCCGAATAAAAATGACGAAACGACCGAATGAAATACTGAAATCTTCGAAAATTAAATATTAACCTTTAGTGCTATAATACTTTTCTACCAGCTTGAATTAGGTTTTACTGAAAACTATGTTTTGTAATTTTTATCTGTACTTACCTACTATTAATATATAAATTACCTTCCATATTTCATAGACTGTGGTGCTATTTTAACTACAACGTTATACTGAAAATACTGTTCTGAGTGGTTATACAGAAACTTATAAAAAATATAAAAATGTACTTGTATATTACCTTTTACTTATCATGAATTATACTTACCACAGGTATGCTTCGATATCAGTACTTACTTCAGCCCCCATAACATGACCATCGAAACACGATATGATAAAGCGATTTATCGCTATGAACTGTCAAAATACAATGGAATTTTGAAAGTTCAAAGCGATAAATCGCTTTATTATATCGTGTTTTAGGCTACTAGGGCAGGCGTTAAAAACTCAGTACAGTAATATAGATAAATCTAAACCCAGGTGGATTTTGGTTTCCTACAATATTTTACTATTATCCTGTTTTTTTTTAATCGACAAATTCCCTTGTTTTTATAATGTTAGTGAGAAAAGAGATAAAAATAAAACAAAATTCAGTTCATTATAAAAATATTGTTTGATAGGTAGTACAAAATGTCATACATAACTGTACTTATGAACTAAATAGGGAGGTAGGTAGTTAGTTGTCAGTATCTTAATTATCTTCATTGTATTATAAGAGCAGGTCTGGATTTAGTAGGACGACCCCGTTTCCTTTTTTGTCCTTGAGCTTCAATCTAATAGCGAGCCCCAGAAGTTGTTTACAAACGTATTTTTTTATAAAACTGTGGGCACGTGCAGGATCCTTTTCTCCATTGTACATTTTGTGTTTCGTTTTTAGGCACTGTAACTTTCCAGAAAGCAAAATGTTTCATCTTGTAATATTCAAAGTTTAACTACTGCTCACCGTACTACACCTCTCCTACTTGACTACTACTACTACTTGGGATCAAGTATTCAGTGTATGCCGTGTTGGATGATAAAATCTTTATTCTTAAATCTTTCCTTGCCCAGCAATACCCATCGGTCCAGTCCTTCAGCTCAATAGTAGGTGTTTCAGGTAAAGGTTCTTTGCAGCTTTGTAAAGACCACTGAGCAACCATCTCAGTGGCAATGGTCAAGAAATGTGAAAGTGGAAGACGTTCACGTAAGGTGTTTTGGTCTTTTATGTTCCGATTGAATGCTTCTAATGCATTATTTGTGACGGGTGAACACGGCGCTGCGCCTAAAAACCAATTTGGATGTTTCTTTAACCATTCTTCTTTAAAGTAGTGAATGAACTCGGTTTGAGTCTGCCATTTTTCAACAAAAGCCTGTGATGTACACAATACCGACAATCCTCTCCCCCCGCAGCCCCACCACCACCGCATCAACGGTGCGGCCCCGTTTGAGTCGCGAAGGATAGGGCGAGTGGCGCATCGCCATACCAACACTCCTCTTCCTCCGCGACTCCACCTCGGCTGTAGCGGTAGAGGGTGCGCGAGTCCCCACTCGCTGCAGTCCACCAGCACACATCCGAAGTGGGCTCCCCAAGCCCACTCGGAGCGGCCACCTCAGGCCGGCCCTTCACCTCGGGCCAGCCACGTGGGTTCCTCTTTGTTCACCGTGGGAGACCAAGCCACGGCTACTAAGCCCCCCGCCACGACAAGGCGGGAACCCGTTCGGGGGGTATGGCGCCTCTATCCCTGACATGTTGTTTAGAGCCTCTAATATAGCTTTTGGCTTTAGGCGTAAATCAAACAGCTTATTTATTTCTCTTTTAACGTTTTCCGGAATTCCGTACTCACTCGCGTACCAATCTGGTCATGGTTGTGCTCTGAAGTGGTCTTAAAAATAAGAATATCATTACAGTCGTTCACAAACAATAAATACAACGCACAATCACACTGTGGTCCCTTGGATTTTACCTTGTTACAACGATAGAAACGTTTTTGGCCTAAACGCGACCCGAACCCGATCGCGCGGGACAAACAGTTGAGGTATTTTCATCATTATTGAGAGTTAAAAATTAATTTGATAACCAACAATAGAAATTATAATAGTTAATGCAAGTCGTAAAAATATGATTATTTTGTCAAAACCTTTGTTGTCGGTAACTTAGTAATCTTGTCGGAGGTTCAGTATTTTATTCGGAAGTTTATTTTTGTTATTCGAAGATCTATTTTTTTTTTAGGAGAAATGTAATTTGACCGTTCTCTCCTTTGTTTGTTAAATTTGTAATTTTTTTTCGGTATGTATTAGGTTTTTTTGACGGTAATTTATTATAATGCTGGTTAATAAGAATAATAGTCGGCCACAGATCGTTGGAGATTAATTTGTTTTTCGGTACCATTATTATTTCCCATAATTTTGATACTTTTTAATTCATATCCCTTTATGGCGTAGCATATTGATAAAAGGACTAGATATACAACCAAAAAGGTTCGTCAATTGGTTTTTTCAAAAGTCAATAAAAAATAAATTTGTTGGTACACACTGAAGTTCATATATCTTGTATAATAGAGATCTGCCTCATTGGACTAGTGGTTGTAATTCTGACTGCTGATCATGTGGTCCCGGGTTTGAATCCCGGGTTGGGCCAAAACAAAATCAGTTATTTTGTTTATCTATCAAGAAACCTCAGTAGCTGCCTCGGAAAGCCGGTATAACTCCTGCGCCTGATCTCTCTCCGATTGTGTCAGTTTACCATCGCATCGGACTATGAGAGTGAGGGAATAGAGAGTGCACTTGTGTTCGCGCATACACTTGGGCACTATAATCCTGTCCTGCGCCGATGGCTAGCTCTCCGTTGAGGCTGGCCGCCGTGCCCGAAATTCGGTCTGGAGGCCCTTACTATCATAATAAAGGTCAGTGTTTGTCATATGAAAACAATTGTTTATTTAACATTTAATATTTACAAGTATACAACCCATAATTTTTTATTGATTTACCTTCATTACAAAATAGTTAGCTAACAATTAATAACTAAAGAAAACAATAACTTACCTGAAGAAACCTATTGTCTACAGGTTTCATAAAAGAAATGTAACAGGTTGCATAATTGCTTTAAATCAACGATAACGCTCATCCCTCCCTCAAAACATTTTAACTTAAACACAAGATGCCTTTACCCCTGTAAATTAGAGTTGGGTTATTTCAAAATAATTTTTTTTTCTAGGTGCGAAGTAGTAGACACATTAGAGGAAATTCCAAAAGTGATGGATAAATTCTGGAATGTTATCACAGAGCTTCGAATAGCTGATCTTCTAAGACAAGTTGGTATACTTCGATGTTAGGTTTGCAAACTAAATTTGTATCAAGGTCGACTCCTTGAAAGTAGTTTCGTATCCATACTTTATAAATAACTATATTATAAAAACGAAAGTGTGTTTGCTTGTTTGTTTGTTTGTCCTTCTTTCACGTCGCAACAGAGCGTCGGCATGGCATGATTTTTTGTATGGGGATAGTTCGTTGGCTGCAGAGTGACATAGGCTATCTTATTCCCGTGGGAAAATCGAATATGTTGCACAAGTTTAATTAAATTGCATTTAACCAATAAAGCGCAAGGGCAAACGTTACAGGTAGCGGGGGTCAACTTAGAAAATCCGTGCTTCTCTCATGGTCAGCTGTATGTAGCATGTTCGCGTGTGTCAAATGCCCAGAATCTCCACATTCTTTCCCCCGAATGGAAAAACATATAACATTGTGTACAGTAGCGTCTTAAAATAGTGTTCAGTTAGTTTTTTTTTCCAAAATTCCCACAATCAATTAATCAGAATTCCCACAGATCTTCCCTTTCAATTCAAAATTTCCTTTTTAGCTCAGTTTCTTTTCAATTCCAAATGCTGCACCTTTGACGGACCTATAAGCTCAGTTTCCTTTCAACTCAAAAGGCTGCATCTCTGACAGATCTTTTATTTGGCTCAGTTTCCTTTTAATTCAGAAAACTGCATCTCTGACGAATCAATTTAGCTCAGTTTCTTTTCAAAAGTCTGCATCCCTGACGGATAATTATGCTCAGTTTCCTTTAATTAAAAAAATATTTCCTTTTCCATGTGGAATAAACGGGCTATTTTCATGCTTTCCTATACGCTGCGTTTCAAAACATTTAAATAGGCTGACGAATCAATTGTGCTCAGTTTCCTTTTAATGGCTGCATCTCTGACAAATCTATAAAACTCAGTTTTCTTTCAATTCAAAAAGCAATGGATAGTTCATTTCCCAGTGACCATGCGGGCGAAGCCGCGGGTAACAGCTAGTTTCAAATAATTTCTTCACCACTGCTAGACTCATTTAGTTAACCTTAGTAAAGTAGTAAAGTTGCGGCCTGTATACATCCCGCAGCTGAGCACAAGCCTGCTCTCATTTCCAGGGGGATTTTAGAGCAGAGCTTTTTAAATTGCATCATCTACCATAATCGATAAAGCTCTATACTTTATGTGCAACCTTAAGAGCGCGTACAAAGCTCGAGTTTTAACGTAGCGATTGTGACTGATGCATAGTACTTAGTAGTAGCATAATTTTGAACTTTAAATGTTAAATACGTTTTTACTTTACGCGTTCGTTCACTACCAAGCACGTGGTAAAAAAGCACCAAATATTATCAATTTTAATTGGTGTCGATGGTAATCTGTGTTCACTGTCATGCATAACTTGAAAAATGTCAGTGTGATCATCACACTGGGCAGGTTTGTTTATAGAATAAGTATAACAAACAAGCACACACTCCACCTGATGGTTCACTATAGCTTTTATACTATAGTTGTGACACAAAAAAGGCGGCTCAACTGGGAAATGACCACACTCTCACAGAACACCTGCGTGAAATAGCAGCTTCATGCTGCTATGTTTGGTGCGATGAGTGTAGTGATCTGAAAATACCTTCTTACTGGTAAGGATGCTGCCGCAATTCTCAGGTTTAAAAACGAATCTGCATTTTGATTTAATCGAGGATAGATGTAGGCGTCTATAATTCAAAGCATCCACATGCCATCAGGCGAACTTTATGTTTTGTCATCTTTATTTTATAAAGAACTCATGGGATGATAAAGAATATGAAGAATGGTACCATTAGTTTTAGCGTTAGATTATTCTGAATAATCTAAGGTTTTAGCATGTCTACCCTCGTCATGAATTAATATTTAACTCTTATTTCTTTTATACAACATGTAACAAAAACCCTGTGGTTCCCTTTTTCCCGTTAACTAGGTTATCAGAATCAGTATCCAAGCATTTAGAAATAATTATTTTTGAAAAAATCACATTAAAAAAAATAATTTTAATGAAAAAAAAATTGCAAATTGTATGTGGTTTTATTATCTCTGCATTGGCCGAGGAGTAAGAGGATTGTCAAAGACCCCGCATTATCGATACTCGTGTGAGTTAGAGGAAATAAAACCACATACAATTTGCAAATTTAATTTTTTTTTATTAAAATTAATTTTTTTAAATGTGTTTTTTTGATAAAAAAATTATTTCCATACGCTTGAATACTGATTCTGATAACACACTTAACGGGAACCACAGGGTTTTTGTTACATGTTGTATAACTCATTGCTATTAAAAAAAATTGATTATTTATGTGTGAGTGAATCCTGTAATATTCTCTATAAAACAATAAATATGTTAAATCATTTCATGTATCATTTTCATACATATTTTTAGGTCACTGTGCACGTGGACTCTCCGCGCTCACAAGTATCCCGCACTGCTTGTTTTACGCTCGCGACCATCTTGAAAAACACTAACTATACGAGAAAACCGGTAAGTCACACTCTAGCGTGTTCGTGCCATTATAACCTATGAAATTAGACTGCTGAATGTAAGTCATCCCCAGAGATTGCCTCATTTTTGATGAGGATATTTGCCATAGTTTTCACTTCACAAGCGGGTTGGCAACCGCAGTTTTTTATTTTTAGTCGTAAGGAAAAACACTGTTGCCCATCTCCTGAGTTGTTTCCTTCTATGGTCTCTTACGACACCCACGAGGTGATATGGGGATAGTGGATATTCCTTCTCCGCCAATATATGGTAATGCGAAGGGTCATCGAAAAGGGCAGAACAACGTCTGCCTGGCAAGCTAGTATATATATATATATATATATATATATATATATATATATATATATACGAAATACTACAGACTAACTGACTCATCACGATATCTCTAAAACTATACACCATAGTTACTCATTTTGCAATGCAGACGCTCACTAAGAACGGATTTTACGATCCCGTAATAAAAATCTTGATATTTTAACCGTGTATTATCGTGCGCCCAGCGAAGCCAGCGGGTATCAGCTTGTTATGAATTAAAGTCATAAACGAGTATACAGCTTAAAAGCCGTACTCGATCCGGTAAGCGAAGTATTACTAGATGGGTGAACGATTACCTAAGAGACACGGGAAGTTGATGGATGGCTCAAGACCGGACCTTGTGGCATTTTTAGGTAAGATCAGGTAATTCAGCAATGGAATTGTGATGGGCTATGATGATGAAGGTGATAATGATCATTATTTTATTTGGGTTACTAACAGAAAATGCTTAAAGTCATTGAGTCCATCTTTCGTATTGTTTTTATAAAAGGGACTTAGGTATCATCAGTATGCAGTGAAAGATTATTCTATATATATAGCTCTGCTCCGCTACCATCACACACGTTTATACATGGTAGAGCCATGTTGCAGCTATATTATGGTTGTAGCACGGAAGGGTCGGCTCGACTGTGGGTGGTGCTTCCGTCTCGTAGTCGTAGTCTCGTAGAATACCAGCGTAAAATAGCAGCTTGATGCTGCTGTGTTTCGTATGGTGAGTGTAGAGAACCAGAGACCCTTTTTACAGGAATCGAGGTAGTCCATCTTAGTCCTCAGGGGTGACAACGCATCTGCATTTTGATTCTTAATCGAGGTTAAATGTAGATGTCTATGGGCCACAGCGTCAACTTATCATCAGGTGGATTGTGTGCTCGTTTGTCCCCTAATTCTATTAAAAAAAAACAGCGTTGTAATTATTAGTAAGTATTTTAAGTTGTGCATACATATTGGCACATTCTTGGAAAGGATTATATCTAACGATGCTTATATACAAGAGATGCCTCGTTGATCTAGTTGTTATAAGCACAACTGCTGTTCATGTTGTCCCGGTTTCGAATTCCTAGTTGGGTTAAAAATAGTTATTGGGGTTTTTTGTCAAGAAATTTTCAGTAGCTTCTCCAGTGCTTCAAGAAAGCATGCAAAGCCGTTAAATCTGCGCCTGATCTCCTTTTAGTCCTGTAGGATTGGCATCCCATCGAACTATAAGAGTGAGGGAATAGAGAAAACACCTGTGCTTGCGCATGTACTCGGGCACTATAACCCTGTGTAACGCAGGTGGTTAGTTACCTTTAAAACCGTGACCGAAATTCAGCCTGGACAGCGTTATAAGGTGTAGAAAAACATTTTAATGTGTTATTAATAGGATTTCTACGAGGCAGTGACAGCGCTGTTGGTAAAGACCGGCAGTTTTAGCCGGCCGGTTCGACGCGCCGCCAACATGGCGCTCGACGATATAGTCTGCGGCGTCGACTTCACGCAAGCCGTCACTGCTCTGTGTGTGCACGGTGTTGGGTAAAAAACAAATTATCCTATAACTTTCCCTTTTTAAATGATTCGTTTTTCATTAAACTAAAATCACAAATTAAGTAACAGTCCATCTAATGGTTGCCGTGTAGTGGCGGCGGAGAATATCCACTACCCCATATCTTCCCGTGGGTGTCGTAAGAGGCGACAGAGGGAGACAGGCAGGAGATGGGCAGCAGCATCTTCCTGATAACAGCAATGATTTACTTAATAAAAAACTACGGTTGCCAACCCGCTCGCCAAGCGTGGCAACTATGGCAAATATACCCCCATGAGTAACGATGCAAACAAACGGCCCCCAGTCCCCGGCGACCCCGCTATTCCTGGCTACGGTGGCGACCATAGTAACGGCGGGGCAGGGGGTCCGAAGAGAGGGGGAGGACACGGTAATCCTCGAGTCCGGCAACTTGTTCTATCACCGGGAGGGCGACCATCTGTCCCAAGGAGGTGTCGGATTTATCGTCCACAAGTCTCTCGTCAACAACGTTGTAAAGATTAGGAGTGTGTCGACGAGGGTCGCGTACCTGATACTCAGAATCACCAAACGGTATTCGCTGAAGGTCATATAGGTTTACGCACCAACCTCGGCACATCCCGATGAGGAGGTGGAGGAAATGTATGAGGATATTTCTAGAGCCATGCATTCCTCCAAAACCCACTACACGGTGTTGATGGGAGACTTCAACGCGTAACTAGGCACAAGAGAAGGCGGTGAGCTGAAGTTAGGGAAATTTGGAGTAGGGCAACGGAACCGTAGAGGCCAGGAGCTGGCTGACTTTATGGAGAAAGAGGGACTCTTTATGATGAACTCTTTCTTCCAGACGCGGCCCCACAGGACGTGGACCTGGTCGAGCCCGACGGTTCGACAAAATATGAGATTGACTTCATTATGATGACCAGACGCCAACTGTTCAGTGATGTCTCAGTGATCGCAAGGGTGAAAACCGGCAGCGATCACCGAATGGTTAGAGGCACACTGAACCTAAACGTTAAGTTGGAGAGGTCTCGTCTAATGAAGTCAACGCTCCGTCCCCCTCGTGCTCTAATCCAGAATCCCAAGACTTTTCAGCTCGAGTTGCGTAACCGCTTTCAGTGCCTAGAAGATTGCAATGCAGTGGACGATATGAATGACAAGCTCGTGGAAACTGTCCGTGCGGTCGGAGCTAAGTTCTACAAGACCCGCCGCAGAAGAACGCAAAAACTCTCCGATCACACTCTTAATCTCATGGCTGTTAGACGGGAGATGAGGCTGCAATCGTCAGCAGATTTGAGAGCATACAGGCATCTGAACAGACAGATCTCCAAATGCAAGCGGCGCAACTTACGCAACTTTAATACTTCTCGTATTAAAGAAGCGATCGAGCGGAACCAGGGCTCCAAAGTCTTTGCCAGAGATCTGTCTGCCAGAAAGAGCCAACTGTCAAAGCTGAAGACTGAGTGTGGCAGCATTGTTTCCGAGACACCTGAGATTTTGAGTGAGATTGAGAGGTTCTATGGGCAGCTGTACACATCATCGTTGGAGCCACACGCAAGTGTGAGTAACGATCCAAGAGCAAGTTTTACCCGACACTATTCCGATGATATCCCGGACGTCAGTCTGAGCGAGATTAGAATGGCTCTCTCAGGCGAGGATGGAATTACAGCGGAGCTTCTGAAAGCGGGTGGAACACCGGTACTTGAAGTCCTTCAGAAGCTCTTCAATTCCGTCCTCCATGGTGGCACTACTCCGGAGGCGTGGAGCAGAAGTGCGGTGGTCTTGTTCTTTAAGAAAGGCGACAACACTCTCTTGAAGAACTACAGACCAATTTCCCTTCTGAGCCGCGTCTACGTGCTGTTTTCGAGAGTTATTACGAATCGTCTCGCAAGCAGGCTCTATGACTTCCAGCCTCCCGAACAAGCTGGTTTCCGAAAAGGCTTCAGTACCATAGACTACATACATACCCTGCGGCAGATTGTACAGAAGACCGAAGAGTACAATCTGCCACTTTGCCGGGCGTATGTGGACTATGAGAAAGCCTTTGATTCCGTCGAAATTTGGGCGGTGCTACAGTCCCTTCAGCGGTGCCAAGTTGACTGTCGGTATATCGAAGTGCTTAAGTGTTTGTACATTTACAAGTGTTAAGTTGGAGAGGTCTCGTCTAATGAAGTCAACGCTCCGTCCCCCTCGTGCTCTGATCCAAAATCCCGAAAACTTTCAGCTCGAGTTACACAACCGCTTTCAGTGCCTACAAGATTGCAATGCAGTGGACGATATGAATGACAAGCTCGTGGAAACTGTCCATGCGGTCGGAGCTAAGTTCTGCAAGACCCGCCGCAGAAGAACACAAAAACTCTCCGATCACACTCTTAATCTCATGGCTGTTAGACGGGAGATGAGGCTGCAATCGTCAACAGATTTGACAGCATACAGGCAACTGAACAGACAGATCTCCAAATGCATGCGGCGAGACTTACGCAACTTTAATACTGCTCGTATTAAAGAAGCGATCGAGCGGAACCAGGGCTCCAAAGTCTTTGCCAGAGATCTGTCTGCCAGAAAGAGCCAACTGTCAAGGCTGAAGACTGAGTGTGGCAGCATCGTTTCCGGGACACCTGAGATTTTGAGTGAGATTGAGAGGTTCTATGGGCAGCTGTACACATCATCGTTGGAGCCACACGCAAGTGTGAGTAACGATCCAAGAGCAAGTCTTATCCGACACTATTCCGATGATATCCCGGACGTCAGTCTAAGCGAGATTAGAATGGCTCTCCAGCACCTTAAAAACGGCAGGGCCCCAGGCGAGGATGGAATTACAGCGGAGCTTCTGAAAGCGGATGGAACACCGGTACTTGAAGTCCTTCAGAAGCTCTTCAATTCCGTCCTCCATGGTGGCACTACTCCAGAGGCGTGGAGCAGAAGTGCGGTGGTCTTGTTCTTTAAGAAAGGCGACAACGCTCTCTTGAAGAACTACAGACCGATTTCCCTTCTGAGCCGCGTCTACGTGCTGTTTTCGAGAGTCATTACGAATCGTCTCGCACGCAGACTCGACGACTTCCAGCCTCCCGAACAAGCCGGTTTCCGAAAAGGCTTCAGTACCATAGACCACATACATACCCTGCGGCAGATTGTACAGAAGACTGAAGAGTACAATTTGCCACTTTGCCTGGCGTATGTGGACTATGAGAAAGCCTTTGATTCCGTCGAAATTTGGGCGGTGCTGCAGTCCCTTCAGCGGTGCCAAGTTGACTGTCGGTATATCGAAGTGCTGAAGTGTTTGTACAGTAGGGCTACGATGGCTATCCGAGTACAGAACCAGAGCTCGAAACCTATCCAACTGCAGAGAGGTGTAAGACAGGGTGACGTTATATCCCCGAAACTCTTCACCGCTGCTTTGGAAGACGTTTTCAAGCTACTGGACTGGAAAGGATACGGTATTAACATCAATGGCGAGTACATCACTCACCTTCGATTTGCCGACGATATAGTCCTTATGGCAGAATCGCTGGAGAACTTAAGCACTATGCTCAATGACCTCAATAGTGCCTCCCAACGGATAGGTCTTAAGATGAACATGGACAAAACAAAGATTATGTTTAATGTCCATGTCACACCTATGCCGGTAGTTGTTGGGAGCACTATGCTCGAAGTTGTTGACGAGTACGTTTACCTGGGACAAATATTCCGACTAGGTAAGTCCAACTTCGACCGAGAGGTCAATCGACGGATTCAACTCGGCTGGGCAGCGTTCGGGAAATTACGACATATCTTCTCGTCAGGTATACCTCAATCTCTGAAAACTAAAGTGTACAACCAGTGCGTGTTGCCAGTGATGACTTACGGATCAGAGACGTGGTCCTTCACTGCTGGCCGTATGAGGACGCTCAAGGTCGCTCAGCGAGCTATGGAGAGGGCTATGCTCGGAGTTTCTCTGCGTGATAGACTCAGAAATGAGGATATCCGCAGTAAAACCAGATTGACTGACATAGCCCAACGGATTAGTAAGCTGAAGTGGCAATGGGCCGGCCATATAGCTCGAAGAACCGATAACCGATGGGGAAGAAAGGTTCTCGAGTGGCAGCCTCGTACCGGTAGGCGTAGTGTAGGGCGGCCCCCCACTAGATGGAGTGACGACCTGGTAAGATATGCAGGAAGTCGATGGATGCAGGTGGCTCAGGACCGTGCTTTGTGGCATTACTTGGGGGAGGCCTATGTTCAGCAGTGGACTTGTGAAGGGCTGTGATGATGATGATGATGAAGTGTTTGTACAGTAGGGCTATGATGGCTGGATAGGTTTCGAGCTCTGATTCTGTACTGTACTGGATGGCTATCCGAGTACAGAATCCAACTGCAGAGAGGTGTAAGACAGGGTGACGTGATATCCCCGAAACTCTTCACCGCTGCATTGGAAGACGTTTTCAAGCTACTGGACTGGAAAGGATACGGTATTAGCCGACGATATAGTCCTTATGGCAGAATCGCTGGAGGACCTTAGCACTATGCTCAATGACCTCAATGGTGTCTTCCAACGGATAGGTCTTAAGATGAACATGGACAAAACAAAGATCATGTTTAATGTTCATGTCTCACTTATGCCGGTAGTTGTTGGGAGCACTATGCTCGAAGTTATTGACGAGTACGTTTACCTGGGACAAATAGTCCGACTAGGTAAGTCCAACTTCGACCGAGAGGTCAATCGACGGATTCAACTCGGCTGGGCAGCGTTCGGGAAATTACGACACATCTTCTCGTCAGGTATACCTCAATCTCCAACCAGTGCGTGTTGCCAGTGATGACTTACGAATCAGAGTCGTGGTCCTTCACTGCTGGCCGTATGAGGACAATGGGCCGGCCATATAGCTCGAAGAACCGATAACTGATGGGGAAGAAAGGTTCTCGAGTGGCAGCCTCGGACCGGTAGGCGTAGTGTAGGGCGACCCCCACTAGATGGAGTGACGACCTGGTAGGACATGCAGGAAGTCGATGGATGCAGGTGGCTCAGGACCGTGCTTTGTGGCGTTACTTGGGGGAGGCCTATATTCAGCAGTGGACTTGTGAAGGGCTGTAATGATGATGATGATGATCTAATGGTTATTACTGAGTTTAAGACACAATGAACTCCAAACGAATAAGGTCAATACGGTCATAGATAAATACATGTTAAAGCTACGTTGCAGCTTTCTTATAGTTGCAACATGAATGGGTCAGGTTGACTGTAAAAATGAAATCACCGTCCATCAAGTAGTAAGTGGCTACTGAGTCTAAGACACTTGCAATGAATTTTTAACTAAGAAGGCCAGCACGCCGATAGATACATACGTGTTAAAGCCACGTTACAGTTATATTGGTAGTTCTAGCACGAATGGGTCGACTCGACCGGGGAAGGACCACGCTCTCACAGAATATCAGCGTGAAAGAGCAGCTTAATGCTACTGTGTTTCATATAGTGAGTGTAGAGAACCGGAGACCATTATTAAGGAAAGGAGGTATTCCATCTTAGTCCTCACGGGTGACAACGCATCTACATTTTGATTCGTAATCGAGGATAGATGTAGATGTCTGTGGGCCACAGCAACCACTTACCATCAGGTGGACTGTGTATTCGTTTGTCACCCTTATCCTATAAAAATGGTTGCAACACGAATGTTAAGGACTAGACATGGAACGAGTAGTGATTCGCCGAGTACTCGGCCAAATACTCGGCTTTAAAAAAACGTAGTAGTGGCCTTACACAGAATTAGCGATACGAGTAAATACAAGCACTTGGTAGTTTTCTTTCGATACCAAGTACTTTTGTATCGGTATTTTAAAACTCAGTACCAATTAATATCGAAAGAAAAGTATTTGTATCGGTACTCGATCAGTCACACACCCACGGACACTGTTGATAAGTGATTACTGATCACTTGTCAAATAACTCATGTTCGAAAGATTGCTTTCGTTATCTGGCGCGAAAATGATTGCTTATAAAAAACGTTTTATCGGAAAACATCTAGGAAAATTATTGATCTTAGGAAAGACATAAAAAATTCATTCAAACATGCTTCTGAAGAAGAAAGAAGCTGCTAACGCATCAACCAGTTGCCTACTTAAAAATCCTGAGAATTCCGCTGCAGCAGAGTTAGATCATTACTTAAGCGTACCAAGGGGCCGCCAGATGTGCAAATCTATATAAATGGTGGGTTTCTAATAAAGGCTATTACCCCATCTCGGGAAAAGTTGCGGCTCAATACTTATGAACACCTGCCAGTTAGGTTTGCATTGAACGGATTTTTGTAGAGGTGGGCTTAGTATATGTAGCAAAAAGAAGCAAACTAGACCCAAATAGGGCCGAAAAGCTAGTGTTTTTGCGTCAAAATCTTCCTTTCTTAAATTTTAAATATTAGTAATAATAATTGTAGTAGTGATAATACAACGTAATTACTTGTATGTGTGCTCCAGGCGAAGCCGATCCTCGTATAAAATAAGCTTGACAGCCATTCTATTGTGTATTATAGTATTCTATGGACATCTACATTTATACTCGCTTAGAAATCAAAATGCAAATGTGTTGTCGTCCCTGAGAACTAAGATGGAATGCCTTTTTACCAGTGAAAAGCTCTCCAGTTCTCTACACTCGTCGTTCGAATTTGTATGGTGAATGTAGAGAACCGCGAGAGTGCCGCCTCATTTGAGGTGCAACCAAAATATAGCTGCAGCGTGGCTCTACCACGTATAAATCTTATGTAACCGTGTTCAGACACAAAAGCGCGGTGGTGCGGTGCGCGTCGGCGCGGCTGCTGGTGGTGTGTTGCGCGGTATCGGGCGGAGGGCGCGGGTTGCTGCGTGCGCGCCCGCTGTCCGCAGCAGCCGCACGCCGCCTCGCACTGCGCGCACTCGCATGCCTGCTCGAGGACAGAGCCTCCGACGCCAGGTATAATAACCAACTGATAGCATTTCTGCACGTACATCTTTATCATGATCCCTTCTTTAGTCCCTTCCCCCAAGGTATGCCCTTATCCAAACTGCCTTGTCATGCCATCTAGTGCGGGGAAACCCTACATTTCGTTTACCGATACGAGGCTGCCACTCGAGAACCCTTCTTCCCCATTGGTTGTCGGTTCTTACGATACGACTTAGAGACTTTTTAGATACGAGCTGACTCCTTTTTAAACGACTGACAACGCGCCTGCAATTCCCCTTGTATTGCAGTTGTTCATGGGTGGCGATCGACACTCAGGTACCATAAGATGAGCCGCATGCTTGTATAACCTTTCTTCTATATAAAAAAAAACAAGCACACAGTTCACTTAATGGTTTTAGCATTACCTTATTAGGACTAAATTATAATGTCTCTTTACCATTAAACTCACTATACGAAACACAGCGGCATTAAGCTGCTTATTCCTTTGTGCCTCGGACTGGATTTTGCATATACGTCAGAGAGGACACCTGTTCTCGACGCTTCGGCAGTCTTGAAGTTTCGGACCTGTCCATCCTTTGGCTACGCGTAGACGGCGACGACCATCCGCGCGTCTACGGGGCGTCTATAGGGTCGATAGCAGTAATGTCGAAACAGACCGACTCAACGACCGAGTACAAATGGCTACAGATTGCTTGCTACAGCAGATACCACCCTCAGAGATCGTGTTCTTTTGCGATTTCAACACCCACCACGCCGAATAGCTCGGTTCATGTTTAACCAATCATGCGGAGAGATCTGTTTATAATAATAAAATAAATAGATTCTCTTTATTTCAGGCACATTGCACCCATATAACTGACCAACAAAAAGACAACAGTACAGAATTACGAAAAATTAAAAATAATTATATTATAATAATACTAAGTTTAAATGGAGGGAACCATCACATCGAGCAGCTATCTTAAGCCATTTTTGATAAAAGGCTCTGGCCTGCAGTCTTACCGCGATCTCACTAATTATCTTGTTTCTACACCCACCAATGGACATCGACATAAATAATGCGATTTTGAATCTTTGAAATGCATTAAACGTATTAATTCGTGCTTCGGTAGACATGTCTGAAGCACTGTAATGGCGTTTGAGACCCATAAGCATTCTAAAGATGTTATTATGTTGCACACGATCACCATTCAAAGATCGTCCCGCATATTTAGTCCTGAGTTGTAGAACGACTGACAGTACGTTGGGAAGAGTATAGTCTTAACCTCCTAGGGGCTTTAACAACCCTCCTGGGAATCATATTGCCACAGACAGACAGAGCTCTTCTCGGTCAGTCTATATCGCAATCATCTTTTCTGTCTGCTGTCACTGTGAACGAGGTATTTGAATCTTTGAACTATTTTAACGTATTGACCCGTCACGTGCGCCTCAAGAACATAAGTGGTCTCTTTCCCGCCTTAAAATCCCCATCTCCGTCTTTTTTTGCATTTTAAATTAATTTATGATCGTTAGCAAATTTATCGTGTATAGATATTAATTTCCACATACCTTTGATTGTAGGGCTGAGCAGAACCATATCGACAGCGTAACTTAGGTTGGTAACATAACGGTTACCAAGCCTAAGTCCGACTTGGGTTCTGCTCAGGTCCACGATCAAGTCATTCACATAGATTGATTAAAACTACTTTTAAGGATTTTATCGCGTTTTATTTATATTAATTTTAATACCCGAAGTTTCGGGTGCTTTCTAGCACCCATGGTCACGGGGGGAGGGTGGTGACTGACGTCCCGATGTCAAAGTTAACCCGGAGTACCTTCAGCTTTTTAATTATTGTTTTTAGTCCGATCTACGCAGAATGAACTAACTGTATTTTGAAGTTTTGCAGTGGTATGCTTGGGTTTAATTTTAATTTTATTAATTATAGGATCTCAAGCAGGTGGTAGTACCCAGCCTCCTTCTCTATTGAAATTAGGATGTTTTTTTAATTTCAATAGCCTCACGTATCATCCTTGGTAGGAATCGATGTTCTTTCGCGAGGATTTGTGGTCTATCAAATCTGATGTAATGGTTGGGGCCATCTAGAATATGATCGCAAACTGCAGACTTCCCGGAACGTTGATGCTTCACGTCAGATATGTGTTCTTTTACGCAGGTTCTAATTGATCTCTTTGTTTGCCCTATATCAATAAATAAAACGCGATAAAATCCGTAAAAGTAGTTTTAATCAATGTATAGTGTTCGCGTAAATATAAGAAATCAGTTATTCACATAGATGTTAAAGAAGTCGGGTAAGGTAAGCCCCCCCCCCTGCCTTACACCGCAAGTCAGTGAGTAGTCATTAGATAGAGAGTCACCCCATTTAATATTATTGATCTGTCTCTTATACCAGTAAGTGAGCAAATCAACAATACTAGCAGGAACGTTATTAGACTTTAACTACTTCCATATTAGATCATGATTCAACGTATCGAAAGCACGACTCAAATCAAGAAAGCAGGTATCAATATAATTTTTTAATACTTGTTTTAAACCAAAAATAGTCATATCAGTAGATAGATCTGGTCGAAAACCAAACTGACCATCGTCAATAGATATGTAGGGTGTAATTTTGGCTTGAATCAAACATTCAAATACCATGGCCGCAACAGTGGCGAGAGATATAGGTCGATAATTACCCATGTTAGCGAGATCTCCAGTCTTACACTTCGGAATCGGCACCACAATGGTTAGTAGTAGTAATAAGTTAAATAATGCAGAGAGGCCTACACAAACATACTGACCGGCATGCAATAGATGTTCTATGCTCAGGTGGTCATACCCCGGAGACTTTTCCCTTTTCATGTTCACATCCTCCTCCGTAACTAGGCAGTTCTCGAAATTCAACCGAGCACAACATGTTTCTGTACTCAACAAAGTATGATTCTTAGTAGTTAATTGAGATGTATTTTGTTCATTGTTTATGTCAACATTAGAATTATTTTTAAAAGGGTTGGCTATCTTTGTGTGATTCAACTCACCCTAGATACTAATGGGACGATTTGCTTTAGGATTTAACTTGTAGACCTCTTGATGGTATTGAATGAATTTAAATGTTCATGTCATCCTATACATTTAAACGGGCAATTCTTGTATATATATATATATATATATATATATATATATATATATATATATATATATATATATATATATATATAATCGGAATCTCGGAAACGGCTCCAACGATTTTCATAAAATTTTGTGTCCAGGGGGTTTCGGGGGTTTTAGAAAATGTTATTTTGTCCGTGTTTTTAGGCAATGAAAAACTGCTACAATATAAGAAGGTAAATTTTGACACTGTGTCTGTGATCGTAATAGCTTAAGTGGATAACGGGCAGTTGCGAAATCGTAGTGCCCTGGTTTTGGCTTTTTTTTTCAAGTTCTCTTCTTTTGTGAGAAAATCTATTATTTCGAGCCCGTTTTTTAGTATTTTTTTAAAAACACGAAAATTTAAATTAAACTAATTGCACTCATGATTTTTTATTCAAAGTTTTTTCTATCATGTCGGTAAGATCAAAAAATATTATTCATATTTCATCAGTGTGTAATTTGTATCTAAATACACACGATTTAAAAAAAATACCGAGCAAAGCTCGGTCAACCAGGTACTTATCAATATAAAATGAACCCAGACAATAAACTTTAATCTAGTCTTAACATGTAGATGCCTCACGTGATAGTTCCAAACAATCTCAAATAGCTTTTTATCTCTTATGTGCCTAAAACTATTCTCTGCGTTAGTCTGTAATATCTTTATAAAATTCATTAATTGAAGTACAGTGGTCATCACTCACCAATGGTGTTTCTTCTGTATATTAATGATATATTGCAAACTGGTAACATTCATGCAACACCAGCGGAGTTGTAGGTGCATTGCCGGCCTATTAAAAAGAAGTAAGCTAGTTTCATGAAAGTCCCTAAGACGTATTGATCCGAAAAATCGCCGGTGGTAAACGATTCCACAAAGTAATCGTGCGAGGAAGAAAACTCCTAGTAAATCAAACAATTTTGGACCACATTTTGTTAATATGATAAGGGTGAAAAACGATTACACAGTCCACCTGATGGTAAGTGAATGCTGTGGCCCATAGATATCTACATTTAACCTTGATTAGGGATCAAAATGCAGATGCGTTGTCACCCTTGAGGAACTAATATGGAATGCCTTGATTCTAGTAAAACAGGTCTCCAGTTTTCTACACTCACCATACGAAACACAGCAACATTAGGCTACTATTTTACGCTGGTATTCTGTGAGAGCGTGGTCTTTCACCGGTCGAGCTGACCCATTCATGCTACAACGAAGATAATATAATCCAGATAATGTGGATGTTAACGTAAGTTTTGTCGCGAGGTCGTATGCGGATGAAAACTCCTTGTGAAACGTACAGTGGTGGACCGCCAAGCATCCAGATGGTGTGGATGGTATCGGGACGTTTGCCGCGTACTATGTTCACGAAATTTGGCGGCTGTGATTAATCCAAACAATTCCTCAGAGCACTACCCGTGGTATATGCGAAAGTAATGCAAAGAGATGCAACATGTCTTCGCAGCGCCAGTGAATCGAGCCGATCGGAAAGCACTCGGTCGTCGATGATTCGAGCCGCTCCGCGCTGGATACGGTCAAGTGAAAGTAGCTGGCACTGTTGAGCCCCGGCCCAGAGATAGAAACATTATACCGTGTGAGGCCGACCCGCGCCTTGTAAATGGTGCCTGCATGAAATATATGTAGGTGAAAATAGTTCAAGTGAATTTAATTTTTTTTAGGAAATATGCGGAGCGTTTGTACATAATGCTACGACCACTCGCCAACTTCGAGGCTTACTTCCTCACCGACGTGGACGTGGAAGTTGCTTCCAGGCAAATGAAGAAATTCGACCAACTTCTGAATCTTTCGAGTAAAGATAGATGAATGACGTGGGGTTCCGATCGTTGTTTTCTTCAAAGTAGATCATTTTGAAGTTATTATTTACGCGAACAAGTGTCTTGCGTTACTTTCAATAATATTTTAAGTAATGGATGCAACGCCGCCATCAGCTATACGATTCAGTTGCTACTTCCACGTGATATAACGTTGTATTATAACTGTAGTATCTTGAATTTTTCAAGTTTTATGTCAGTTTTAAGAAAGCTGACCATCTTTGGTCATACCGTGATACTACAGCGACACACTTGTTCACGTAGATACTAAAACGTGTTTATCAGCGCGGTTGGCCAAGTTGACTTTCTACTATCGTTACCGCTCATAGAAAACCATAAAAACAAATGGAAATAACATAACGCAAGTCAGTTGACTTCTCGTTGATTATACTCGTATTTATTGTTTTCTAGGTAGGTAGCGTAGGTAGCGATCTAGCGATAGTAGAACATCAATTTGGCTACCCCCACTGATCATTAAGTTCTTTATCCTTTCTCTCCTTCATTCATTAATTTATTAATTACATTTATAACCAATCAAAAATCCCTGGCAGCATTCTGCAGTTTAGCTTCTCCATATTTTTACACAGTTACTTACATACTCTTACTCTGTTAAATTTTAAAATTGTATAAAATTAAAGTTATTGCGTAACAGCGCCGTTTATTTGCCGATGTATTTTTGATGTGTGTGTAAGTTCAAATATTTAATAGTAATGCTTAGAATTTGAATTTATAAAACGTGACATATATAAATGTAAATATATAACTTTATTTTTGTAAAAGTATTTCATCTGGTTAAAACAAATACGTAAATTTATTAAACCGTTCTAAATACAATAGTATTTTAATTTTAAAAATTTATTTCTTATCATTCCATTTCATCAAATGTTTTAGTGTTACGCTGTCTGTTATGTTTGAATAAAATATGTGAAATGATTAAAGCGATAAATAAAGACTATGTGTGATAAATAATATGTATACAATAAAAAGTATAACCCCACTGACCTAATTGTTTTGAAATATCGACCTCATGTAGTCATGTAAAGATAAAGACTGCACCAAGAAGGCATTTTGCAACTGTGCTTTGCAATCTTAACTGTTAATAAATTTATTTATGTCTGAACTGATAAAGAATATTCGTCGTAAAATGGAATGGAGCAGTATTAGTTTACTTAAAATCCCGCCAAAATTTATGTCAAATAATTTAGGTAAATTTAATACGCAAAGTTAAACTATCAATTTAAGCTGGACTGGCTATACCGTACAAAATGTTTGTGTCTGTTTGAAGCGCCGCGATCGTTCATACCGGGAACTAAAATTGGATATAATATGCCAAATTCTGTTGTGTTTATGTTTATGTTTATGTTTATTAAATCTTATCTCTCTATTTTAAACTTTTAAACAAAACAATGAAAATATTTTGTGTAGTTTGAATATGTTTGATTTTAGTCATACAATAAGAATTATTTTTAGTAATAATGAGAGTGTGCGTAATTTGAAAAATTGATTACCAAAAGGAAAGTGGGATTATATTACACAAGTATGTGAATTTGCAGCTAGTATTAAATAAATAAACTATTTGTTAATAATAATAATAATGTAATGAGGCTGTATTTGCCGCCAAAGCATGGTGGGCGTTGCTTTTTAAGCGCGGCAGTACATAGCATTTCTAACCAAAGGCCGTATGGAAGGAGAATGAGGAGGAAGGTCGGAAGGAAGGAGGTCCTACAAGGCTCTACACGAGTATTTAGTAAATACAGTCGGCTCCCTCTACTGGCTGGTGTCGTCTGGTGCCTTCTTAGGGGAAACCGAGGATTTTGTTTGTGCAATACAGGATTAGGCTATTTAGACCAACAACTATTGGAGATACATCCTGCAGGATGTCACCATCGACGGTGGTATTCGGTGGTATCTGTCGAGCTTGATGTCATCCCGGTGAGTCACTTAGGCACGTCATCTCCGGTTGTTCAGCGCTTTCTAACTCTGAGTACTTGCGCAGGCACAACCTAGTAGCCGGATTTTACACCAGGAGCTCGCTCTGAAATACGGCCTCGTGGATTGGAAGCTGCCTTATTATAAGAACTTGCCGGAAGCCGTGCTAGGAAATGATCGCGCCAGGCCATACTGTGACCGGGACATCATCACGAACAGGATTATTCTTGCGAATAAGCCTGATATTGTGCTGATGGACCAGGCATAGTCAAGGATATTTTTGGTCGATATTACCATTCCGTATGATGAGAACCTCGTGAAAGCCGAAACAGATAAGTAAACAAAATATCTGGACCTGGCTCACGAGGTGACATACATGTGGGGTGGTCTGCAAACCGAAATTATTCCTGTAGTCGTTTCTGCAAACGCGCTAATCCCAGTGAGCCTCTTAGGTCATCTGAGGCGGCTGGGACACCGTGACGGACCGCTCCGGTTTCAAATGCAGAGGGCGGTGCTCCTCGATACCGCCCGCATCGTCCGCCGGTTTCTTTCTCTTACGCATTGTCGAAGACCGAGTGCTTTCCGATCGGCTCGATTCACTGGCGCTGCGAAGACATGTTGCATATACCACGGGGAGTGCTCTGAGGAATTGTTCGGATTAATCCCAGCCGCCAAATTTCGTGAACACACTACGCGGCAAACGTCCCGATACCATCCACACCATATGTATGCTTGGCGGTCAACCGATGTACGTTTTACAAGGAGTTTTTTTTCGCATACAACCTCTCTGTGTGTTTACCACCGACGATTTATCCGGACCGATACGACCTAGGGACCTTCAAGAAAAGAGCTTACTCCTTTCTAAAGAGCCGGCAGCGCTCCTGCAATTCCTCTGGCGTTGCGGTTGTTCATGGGCGGTGATCACTGACCTCTATATATACAAGTACGCTGGACTGGCTATACACCGTGACATGATGAAGCGATTTGATTTCCGCCATTTTGGCGCTGACATCAGAAGTGCACGTCCACGGAACTAATACTAGGGATAAGACAGTGTACCAAATTATATCGATAAAAATACTATACCCTACCTATACCTAAATAAATAGAATGGACTCTATGGATAGATGGACTCTACCCGTAATGTCCTTTCTATTTATTTATCATATTAATATAGTGCCATTATCATTCATCATTAAAACCCTTCACAAATCCACTGCTGAACATAGGCCTCCCCCAAGGAATGCCACAAAGCACGGTCCTGAGCTACCTGTATCCATCAACTTCCTGCATGTCTAACCAGGTTTTGACTCCATCTAGTGGGGGAACGTCCCACACTTCACTTGCCAGTACGAGGCTGCCACTCGATAACCTTTTTTCCCCATCGGTATTCGGTTATTCGAGCTATATGGCCGGTCAATTGCCACTTCAGCTAACTAATCCATTAGGCGATGTCAGTCACTCTGGTTCTGCTGCAGATATCCTCATTCCTAAGTTTGAACCCCTGAGTATAGCCCTCTTCATAGCTTGTTGAGCGACTTTGAGCTTCCTCATACGGCCAGCAGTGAAAGACCTCGTCTCAGATCCATATTTCATCACTGGTACCACGCATTGGTTGTACAATCTAGTTTTGAGGTATTCCTGACGAGAAGATGTGTTGTAATCTCCCGAACGCTGCCCAGCCGAGTTGAATCCGTCGATTGAGCTGAACAAGTTGAACTTCGACCGACAGGTCAATCGACGGACCTACCTAGTCGGACTCTTTTTCCCAGTAAATATACTCATCAACAACTTCAGCTAAGTGCTCCCAAAAACCACAGGCATAGGTGTGACATGGACATTACACATGACTTTTGTTTTGTCCATGTTCATCTTAAGAACTATCCGTTGGGAGACACTATTGAGGTCATTGAACATAGTGCGTAGGTCCTCCAGCGATTGTGCCATAAGTACTATATTGTCAGCAAATCGAAGGTGAGTGACGTACCACCATATCCACAATATTTATGATTTTAAGCCATAATTTTAGTCTAGGTTCAGTTGGAAGGAAACCCGTTAATTAATAAACATTTGATAATCATCTGTTGTTGGTGACTTTGTTTGTTAACAGATATGGGTAGGAAAGAACATCGATAAGTATTATAGACAAGGAACTCGACAACCCTATTGAATTTTATTGTTTATCAAAACTCAGTAATATACAGCTAAACATGTTGCTATATATGATATTAAGATTAGTAACAAATTTCTATGTACTTATATTATCAAATAGTTTTAATTTGTTTAATATTTACTGCAAATTCACTTACTTGTGAAATGTTATACCACTTCCCTTTTGGTAACCAGTTTTACAGATTAATCACCCTCTCATTATTAATGAAAATAATTCTTATTATGTAACTAATATTATACACAATCAAACAACATAAAATACTTTCGTTTTTTAGTTTAAAAGTTCAAAATACAGACTTATTAAATATGACAATATGAATAAGACAACATACTTTGGCATAATATGTCAATTTTATTTTTCAAGACATCCTTTAGCGGCGCTTCAAATTGGCACAGTCATTTTGTATGGTATAGCCAGTCCAGCGTACTTGTATATTAGAGCATAGCCCTCTCCATAGCTCGCTGAGCGACCTTGAGCGTCCTCATATGGCCAGCGGTGAAGGATTACGTCTCAGATCCGTAAGTCATCACTGGCAACACGCACTGGTTGTACACTTTAGTTTTCAGAGATTGAGGTATACCTGATGAGAAGATGTGTCGTAATTTCCCGAACGCTGCTCAGCCGAGTTGAATCCGTCGATTGACCTCTCGGTCGAAGTTGGACTTACCTAGTCGGACTATTTGTCCCAGGTAAACGTACTCGTCAACAACTTCGAGCATAGTGCTCCCAATAATTACCGGCATAGGTGTGACATGGACATTAAACATGATCTTTGTTTTGTCCATGTTCATCTTAAGACCTATCCGTTGGGAGACACCATTGAGGTCATTGAGCATAGTGCTAAGGTCCTCCAGCGATTCTGCCATAAGGACTATATCGTCGGCAAATCG